GAACAACCTTTCAGCCATTGTTGCTGTCTTCTGCTCGCAGCGTGCATGTGGTATGACACTCACGTGACTCGTGTGACCTTCGCCATCTGTTGAGAAAACATTACATTACACTACCACACAAGAATTGTAACTACATGTAATTTTGTTCCAAAGATATTGACTATCAAAAGTGAGTACATTTTTTGGACCCCCCTATATACTCGTATACTCGTATATGTCTGAAACACACAACAGGATGCAACCAATGAAGATAATCCATATGTGCTCTTTGTACACATGGGCAGTATAAATTTCCAGAAGTGACAGGACACAGTTTGTCATGAGCGAATGTCACTTTGCAGGAATGTACAGAGCTACACAGAAACTCCCCTTGATTTGTGTCTGATGTCCAACTGGAAGAGCTCCCTTCAGATGAGCCTATCTTATGTTCTGTCATTATTGGGGTGGGGTGGGACTGCTTAGAAGCTGATAGATTGTAGTGCATTAAATGATAAAACATATACAAGTGATGAAATTGGAGTCATTTGGAAGTAACTGATCACACCATGTTATAGTGCATTATTCCAATATTTGTTAGGAATTTCTGAGGAAGTATATGGAAGCTGGATTCAGGAACACTGGTCTTCAGGTAAAGGTAACACTTAACTAACTAATCATGGAGTCCAGTGTTTCTTGGGAAGTCACCAGTCAGCTACTCAAGACTTTCCCAGCTGAAGGTTCATTACGATGTTCACAAGAGCCCTTCACTGGTCCCTATCCTGAGTCAGGTTAATCTAGTCCATACCATCATATTTTTCAAATTTGAATATTATCCTCCCACCTCAGTTTAATTTTTCCTAGTGATCACTGGCGTTCCCATGAGAACCCTATATGCATTTGTTTTCTCTCCCATGCATTCTACACACCCCACCCTATTCCTTGGAAGATTGTAGGGAGCATCTTTCCTTATACAGTGCTATAGATGGGTTTCTGGGTGCCATGTAGGTCTATACATACTGCCCTCATTAGGACACCAGCTCTGTCCTCTTTGACACCCATGAGCCTTCAACTTTTTCTTCTTGTCCCAGCCTCTATCTGCTACTTTTGCCCTTTTATCCCAACCATATGCTTATGACCCATGCACATGAGTTCTCTCCTATCCTCCTTTCTTCTCTGCCCACCACACTCTTAGTACTTGTCTTTTCCGGGTTCCCAGATATGCAATAGCAGGCCTCTTCAGTGCCTTTGCTAGTTATCTGTCCTTGTCTTGCACTTCCTTCCTGTTTTCTATTCAAACCCAAGCTTCTGGCAAGCGGATTGCTCTGCTTGTTAACTGTTTCATACCAGTTTCTTGTGTGACTTATTCTTCAGCCCTGAAGATGGAGGCTAAGTAGTCCTCTGAAACATCACTTGACTTTCAAGAGACTTCATTGTGTTATGTCCCAGAAGATAGAACCTATATATATATATATAAGGTACTGTTGACAGTTGATGATCAGTTTTAACATACTGAAGTTTTGTAAGTTGACATGTTTACAGGAATCCTCAAAAGAATTCTTAGTAACATTTTAGTATTTGACTAAGCAGCTGTCAAATTCTGCTCTGGTGCAGCTTGACAAAGTCATGTGACTGGCATAAAATGTTGCCATGAAATTGAGGCTTCTTTACAAAAGAAATTTTTGTGGAATTTAACCTTTATGATGCATCAAAACACCAGTTGTTATGTTACCCTTCTGTAACTGCCCAGTCTGGTACAATTTATTCATCTGTTTGTACCGTCTCATAGTAACTCATATTTTTTTTCTCTGCATTTCAGATGCTAGCCCTGCAACATTTGAGACACCGGTGGATGCTAGGTGGGAAGATGACCACCCTGATGCTGAAGAGGAGTTGGACAAGAAATCTCATCTTGAGGAGAAGGATGGTGAACCTGCAGCCCAGGATAATAAGGCATCACAGGATTTCAATAAACGTAAGGAGATATTTAGGCTTGTTTCTGAAAGGGAAAACAGTTCTATATCCTTCGGAAATGGTTCTCAAACCTTCTGATACTGCAACCCCCCCCCGGATAATGTTAGGCAGTTGGCTAAAAGTGCGGTTCTTCACATTGCTGCAGGGTCCATATCAGGCTGTTTGGTGGCAGCAGGAATCAGAATAATTTTACAACCTCTCTGCATCTACAGGAAGCTATAAAATATTCCTGTACAGTTGTAAAAATAATTCCCAGAACGATTCATCAGCTGCAGTTACATTTTCCAAAGTGACCTGTAGTACATTTTAGTGACTTGCCAAAATTGTGCATGGATACAGCTATGACTTAAACAGTTCTTAAGAACTTGGTTGCACCCTCTTAGAATAGGTCGGGTTTGGGCAACTAGATCCATAGTATATAACTGCATTTAAACTTTCCAAGTACAATACATGTACTCATATTTTTCTTTGTAACATTTTAATGTTATGACAGGATCTGTATTATTACTGCTTGGTGGCACAGAGAATAACTTTGATTTTCTTAGTTATTTTATTAGCACCATTATATTCTGTAGCAACAGAGTATATAAGTATGAAACTTCTCTATCTTAGTCTTCAGTCACTGGCCAGAATAACCTAAATTTCAGGCAAAAATATGTATATTTGTAATTGTGGTATTTCATATTACGTCTTATAATGTCCAGACATCAGACATTTTGTACAGTAAATGTATACCTGCATAAGTGTCAACGTGTATTAGCATTAGATACTTGAAAACCCTTTCCCTTATTAGAGTGCTTTTCTTCTCTACCTTTCTGTAAACATACATTTATTTTGCTAGATACATGTTTTATTTTGTTAATAACTTCTGTTTTTTTATGTTGTACAGAGGAAGTGAAGGCCACACTGGATGTATACCTGAATTCCCACACAAGCGAAGATAATCAGAGTTTCCAAGAAATAATGCGGGCTGCAGAACTCAAGCACCGACATAAGGTATGCTGGAAATAGACATTCATGCCTTTCGTTTTCTGTGATATCTACATTTTTTTGGAGGCTTCTAACTCAAGTTTGGTGACAGAAAAAAATCAAAATGAGTCCATACAGAAATTAAGAATATGTAAGGTACTTTCTTCTTTAATATAGCACCATTTAGTTTGGTATATAGCTACATATCTACCAAACTACTTAACATCACACCCCAAAAGACAGTTATGATCATAGCCACTGCTGTGAGATCCATATGCCTCGCAGAATGAAGAGTAGATTACATTTTATTAATACTTGCTACCATTTGGTTCAGAATCTGTTATCTTCCTCACTCCTATCAAAAAACATGAAGATTAGACCTAAAAGTAAAGTAAAGTAAGTAAAGGTATCCCCTTAACAGGTCGCGGAGGCACATAGGGTTGTGATATGTTGAGGCTCCCACATTTTCTAGACAGTTGGCTCACAGATGGTGGAAAGATTAGACGTACAGGATTAAAATTTTTCCTTTTTGTTTTCTCTGTGTGTGAAACTTGGTCTCTCACCCAAAGGAAAGATTAAATTAATTTAGTCATTTATATCCCTGGACACTATGCTACAAGCTGGAAGGTCGCAGGTTCAAGTCTTGATGAGGTCATTGGATTTTTTCAGTTGACATAATCCTTCCAGCCACACTATGGCCCTGGGGTTGACTCAGCCTCTTACAGAAATGAGTACCAAAAATTAATTAAATAATTTTCCTGGTGAGTAAAGGGCGGCCAGCGCGTAAGGCTGACAACCTTACCTCCATCTTTGAGCCAATTGTCTAGATAATGTGGGACCCTCAATGTCTCACAACCCTCTGGGCCTTCACAACCTGTTACAGGGATAGCTTTACTTTACATTATTTTACTTTATATCCCTGGATATACTCTATCCAGTGGCAGTATTCTTAAACATCCCTTTAATTTCTGCAGTGAAATTTTAAAATTGGTATAACTTTGAGTCTCTGTGGAATAAATGAAAGCTTTTTTCGCTTGAAACTAATTTATATACTTTAGTAATATGTTCTGTACGTATGGAACACCAGCAGCTGTGTAAGAAGTGATGACTTTTGTGACAGCTTTTGAAGCTAACATCAAAATGCAAATCAGCTTCCCAGTGAGGCTACCATCAGATTAATTCCTTCCTCTTCCCTTATCATGAGCAAGAATTATGTTCAGTGAGGTGTTTAGGAGGTGGTTGTATACAGAGCATGTGTATACAAGATGAAACACTCCAGACCCTTGTTTTTCTGTAAGTCCCTTGGTAAGATTGTTTTCAGGACTGACACCTTTGGAGTCACTGGATTTGAACACTAATTGAAGGAGAAGCTTAAGTGCAGAAAATGTTAACACCAGAATTTTTGACATGGGATAATTTAAATTAAACATTAGAGAGGGGAAGCCTTAAATTGGGAATGTAGAATGGAGGTTCCACTGCAGTGTCTTGAAACATGTCATGACTCTCTCCTTACACATTCTTCTGTTCTCACCATTCACCATAATCTTTCTGTCTCATTCAAATATCTGTACCCTCTGATGCTGAAAAAGTGACCAAATCCTTGGGTGAACATGGACAATGTGGGCCTACCGGGGTTCCCTTTCTTGCACATTTAGTATATTTTATGAAGAAAGCAGTCTTCTGGGATGTTGCACCATGTAAATATTGTGTTAACAGACATTCTTCCGAAAGACTTCCTCCCAGAAGACTGCTTTCTTCATAGCCACTGCCGTGAAATCTTACATGGTACATTTTATTTTTTCTTATTCCCACACCAAATTTTTGCATTGTAAAATTGTCAATTTGTTCCTTTCTGAATGCCATGTGTTGGTAACATAGCTCTACAGCTGCTGCTTATTCTTTTCCTGCAGTTTGGGTGGTTGTATAAAGCAGAGGAAGAGTCCAGGGAAGAACAGAGCGAGATGATGCGGCTGCCATCTATTGAAGAACAAGCAAGTAATGGGCAGAGGCCACTTATGGTAGACACATGGGGCTATCGCAACAAGAACTACATCATGTATGTCCCAGATGGTAAGATATAAATTAATTTTACAAGTCACATAATAAGAATCAGAGTGCACCGTTTAGTGGGTTGTTAATTATGGATCTGTGGATTATAAAGATATAACAGGAAAGATTCATGGCAGCTACATACAAGGGATAGATGTTTGGAACAGTTCTTATTTGCACAGACTGATACAAAGCATACATCATATTTCTGTAGCCAACATTGAAAGGTTAAAATATATAAAGAATTTTGACGTGAAATATGAGAGGGTGGACGAGGTACAAGAAAGGTACATGGCCAAATGAAGAGGGTTGGCCATGTGTAAATTAATACAGTTATGGCAGTTCCATAAAATGCTGCCAATTATGGCCGCTGTGTGATAATTGGAATGACCAGCTTTACAGGTTTTACTGTATAGAAAATAATTAATTGCTTATGTAATGTGTTTTTAAGGTGTTGCCTTGACTCCTGAAGAGGAAGTAGAGTTGGCGAGTCGGAGACGATCTATTGTCCATTCCAACACCCGCCTTACAAGTAACCCATTTGATGAGCAGCAGAACAAGGAGACAATACACCAATTGGCACAGTCTCAGGCCCAGTCACTAGAAGGGAAGATTGGTGTAGATGGCAAAGAATTGTTACATACTGAAACTCCAAAAGTTAATGGGTTTTCTTTTGTGAAGACTCCATCACCTGCACCAGGTATGCACAATAAAAAAGATGGATAATAAAGAGTTCTGTCTTCTGGGATATAATACCATGTAGTCCATTGAAAGTTAACAGACATTTTGGAGGAACATCTTCAGAATTGAGAATAAGCCAAGCAAGAAACCAGCACGAAGTGGGTAGCAAGCATGGAGGTGATTTGTTCCTACAGAACCTCAATACATGGTATTATATCCCAGAAGGTGGAACTCCTCATAAGCGTTGCTGTGAGAATGTCAGATTATGTGTGGCATACTGATATGTTGGGTATAGAATCCTATAGTAACTACTTATATGTGGCATGTTTAAACCATTAGTCATTTTGTGCTGAAATGACAGTGCTGGACTCAGTTTTCTTGAATTAGTTGTGTTTTATGTCATGTTCATTCCACCGTTCTCTTCATTTATGCAAACTCTTAGTGATGTATAGTAGTTCAAAGGCATTCTTCAGGTGTGTTCTTTGTGATTTTGAAAGCTTCATTGGACTTGATATTTATTATTTGAAAGCATAAACCAGTTTTCCGCCCTGATAACAGAAGTCAACTGAATTAATTAGCAAACATTCCACTTAAATTGTAGGAGAGTATTCATCAACACAAATATTGTATACAGTTGAATTAATTATATATAGTTCTTTATCATTACAACATGTTTTGGCCTATTTTCATCATCAGGTATTTTATATTTATTATCAGTGTAACTCTTATTAGCTGTGGTGATTGAACTGAAGTTCAGGTTTTGGCAGTGACCAGCAGGAACAATCTACTGTTGCGGAGTTAGTCAGAATTTTGAAACAAATATATTTGCTTATCCATATGACATTAGTGTGTGACCTTGCTTTTTTTACACGTTTTTCTGCATTTATCAACATAAGGTGACCTCCAGTGTTATAATGAAAATAGAAGTGAAGAAATGTTACTGATATGCAGTATAACTTTGAGTGCATCTGCTTCAACAAAACAGGGAAGACATTTGTTGGATGGATTTAGGAGGGAGGGGGTTTGCTTGAATGTGTGTAACAGTGTAATGAGTATTGGTATATGATGTATGTTACAGTCAGTCTGAAGAAAATATAATTAAAGTAATTTGGATCTAGTGAGGCAGTTTGTTTTTGCAGTATATAAAAATGACATTCATGATCATGAGTTGTTACTTATTTCAGGAGTTAATGAATCCCCACTTATGACATGGGGTGAAATTGAGGGAACACCCTTTCGTCTTGATGGAGGTGACACGCCAATTCGGACTACACTCCAGGGACCTTCATTCCGGATACCAGAGCCTCCTAAGAGAGAAAAGCTGGCTTTGGCTTTAGCAGAGAAGGCAGGAGAACGACACAGGGACAGAAAGATGAAAGCTATAGAAGCAGCGCGGAAGCAACTGGCAACGTAAGTAAACTTCTTCGTATGAAATTACTGAGTAGATGGACTCAAGCAGTAACAGTTTGAATCTTGGTCAGGACACCACCTATTCTGACAGAAACTTTATGTGGTCTTATTCAGTCCTTCCAGGCAAATGCCTGAATAGTAGCTTGAAATAGGCCATGACCAGTTCATTTCACATTTTTTCCAATTCATCATTCATTAACTGTCTTACCATTCAGCACTATATAGCCTGGGCTACTGACAGTGTTGCTAAGTAAACCATAAATAAATAAATCCATATGAAATTGGCTGACATCTTTAGAAAGTCTCACCTACATGACTGTGAAAGACTTAAGTATTGTTTAATTCTCAAGATATTATTGACTTTTAAATGAGCAGCACTGCACACTCTACCTGTAGGATTCCTTTGTTGAGGAAAAATTTATGCTGTCCACAGACTTTTCAGAACCAGGCTTCTGTCCAAGAAATCAAGCTGTATATTGAAATAGTTGCTGATGGCAGAGTCCATCCATTTTCGTTCTAATATGATGATGACCTAATCAACTAATGTTATGATATACATATCATTCTTATAAGGGGGCACTACGCTACAAGCCGGAAGGTCGCGGGATCAAATCCCGATGAGGTGGATTTTTTCAATTTACCTAATCCTTCCAGCCGCACTATGGCCCTGGGTTCGACTCAGCCTCTAACAGAAATGAGTACCAGAAATATTCTTGGAATATTCTTGAGGGTAAAAGCCAACAACTTTACCGCCATCTATGAGCCGATTGTCTGGAAAATGTGGGAGCCTCAACCTCTCACATCCCTATGGGCCTCCGCGGCCTGTTACAGGGATACATTTACTTTACTATATACGTTATCCTTCTTATATATGTCGAGCTCTCTGATACAGAACATATGACTTGTATGAAGTCCTGATTAAAGGTGTAGTGATACTTAGAAAAAATGGCTGCTATTGTAATCAGCACCTCTGTTCTTGTTATCACTTTTTGCCTTGTTGTGATGTGCAGTAGAATTGATTACATAACATCCATGGTTTCTTTTTGAGCTCTGATATGACTATGAACATTTTAGTATAGTAATGAGCTCAGAAAAGACAACAAACATTCAGCTTTTAAAGAATTCTTCTAATTCTTGATTTTAATATTCTCTTTGTTTTAATCGTGTACATTGTAACAATTTTATTTTCTTGACCTTCTCAAAGAAATAGGGGCACATGGTAGCGTAGTTGGTTGAGGCACTCTGCTACAAGCTGGAAGGTCGCGGGTTCAATTCCCAATGTCAGTGGAATTTTCAGTTGACCTAATCCTTCCAGCAGCACTATGGCTCCAGGGTTGACTCAGCCTCTAAAAGAAATGAATACCAGAAATCTTCCAGGGAGTAAAGGGCAGCCAGCGTGTACGACTGACAGCATCATTCCCATCTTTGAGCTGATTGTCTAGAAGAATGTTGCAGCCTCAATATCTCACAGCCCAAGGGCCTCCATAACCTCTTATAGGGATAGCTTTACATTTGTTTCTTAAAGAAATAGTGGACAGTCCGCTGAAACTATTTTATATTACTTGATTTCAAAGTTTTCTTTTTGTCTACTTGGCACCCTTTTATGTACACATTTCTACTAAACATCAGTAAACAATGCTGAGCAGCCGCATTCTTGCTTCATTGGTTATTGTTATCAGTTAAATCATGTCTGAAAGTGATCACAAGAAGCAGCGTCAATTGTATGTATGAATATATTATTTGGGGATCCATAACAGGTGTCTCTGTGCCTAATGCTGAAAAGGATGTTGATATATTTCCTTAATAGGATTGCATTGAAAGGGGTACTGTATATTTATGTGGCTTCTTTAAGAATTTCGTATCATTGAGCTGTTGCCATATATCATTGTTTACTCCATTGTTCCTACTGCACAAACTATGGGACTGCATGTATTTGTGGTTTATAACATTAATACTATAATATAAAATTTCTCTTTGCCAGGCCTTCTCCTCATTCAGGTAGTGCAACATCATTGGATCGTCTGAACTCCATGTCCCCCGCTGCTCGACGCTTAGCTTCCACTCAACTGCGACGTCGCATAGGCAGCGACCTGGCATTGCAAGCATCATATAGTCCTAGTCCTCACAGTATCTGTAGTGGGCAGGCTTCACCTCATCTTACACCCAGTCTTGCCAAAACTCCAACTCCAGGCAAGACTGGCAGTAGGAAGAGGAATCGACTAGCCACACCAAATCTTAATATCACAGATAATCTTCTGAATTTTCCTAAAAGACCCAGAGCTTGTGATTTCTTTTGAACCTTCATTGATATTGAGATTTGAAGTTTGCAGAGTGGTGGTTGTCTTCTGGGAAATAACATCACGTAAAATAGTAGATGAATGCCAACATTTTAGAGAACCTGCTACCTGTGAAGATAGGCCGCGGAATTCCTGCGAGAAACCACAAAACGGGTCATTTCAAAACATTGCAAGGCTTTCCATCCAGTGAAAATATTTAATTCACAGGACTGAGCCATCTCAACATGGACTGTGTAGAAAACACTGTTCCTCTGTTGCAGTGCCATTGTTGCTTAGTGATGGCATGAGGTATTCCGCTGTTGCATGAGCAGCCATCATCATGAACTCTTTAAGGGCTACTGCCTAGTAATGACCTTCTCTTGTGACTGCACAATTCTTGCTTTGAGCGAATATGTCACAATGTACAGACATACCTCATTTTACACCATGGTTGTGTTCCCAGAAAATGTGTGACACGTTAAATAGACACTGCTCATAATTCTTGGTCAACAACTATAAGAAGAGCATGGTCTTTTAGGTTGTAGCACCATGTAACTGGGAGAAAACCTGGTGCTTTGGATGCACAATGCTGCAAGCTGGAAGGTTGTGGGTTCAAATCTCGAGGTGGATTTCTTTTTTGTTTTCAGTTTACCAAATCCTTCCAGCCACACTATGGCCCTGAGGTCGATTCAGCCTCTAACCAAAATGAGTATCCGGCATCTGGGGGGGGGGGGGGAAGGGGGGCCAGTGTATAAGGCTGACAACCTTACGGCCATCTCTGAGCCAATTGTCTAGAGAAAATGTGGGAACCTTAACCTCCCAAACCTACGGCCCTTGATGGCTGTTACAGGAAGAGCTTTTAGAGTCTGGCACTTGGGAGTACATATGCCCATCCAACAAAGAATTGGACTGCCCCTGACCTGGACAGTGTTACAGCCTAGAAGACCGTACTGTTCATAGTCGCATCTATGAGAATCTCAAATCCTGCTGTAAAATTTTAGGCTGAGGAAAGTGAACTCTTACAGTTCTTTCTTCACAAGATTCTTTTTTCTTTTTAGCATTTAAAAGCAAACCACATATTTGCAACAGATCTGCATATAAAGAGGATGTTCCTATGCATGTGTATGAAGACTTGCAAAATGAATTCTACGTGTGTACATTCCATGTGATGCATTGCTCACATGTCGAGTATTTATACCTTCATTCGGGATTCTATCAACAGAATGTCTGTGTAATATACATGTGATGTACAGTACATCTTTTATGTTAAGGACATGGTTGTTAAACATTGTACAGTATTGTAAATAAATTATCCTTTTTTCTAATATGTTATTTTATTAGTGTTTTTGTCAACAGAAGATTGCTATTTCTTTCATAAGATCGTTAAGTGCCTATTAATTGTGCTGTGTTCCTTCATGGGGCAGAACACAGAAACATTTCAGTTGATCAGCAGCCATCTTATTTTCATGAGATGGGTTGTTTTCAGGATACTATAAAATACAAAAGTAAGACTTACTCAGTGAGCTGAGCCCCTCTGGAGGAGTTGCCAATTCTGCAGCTACTCAAGAATTTCTCATGGAACCTGAAGGTTCATTACCGTGTTCACAAGACCCCTCCACTGGTCCGTATCCTGAGCCAGATCAATCCAATCAATACCATCCCATCCTGTCTCTAAGATCCATTTTAATATTGTCCACCCACCTACGCATACACAAGTAGAACATATGCAAATGCATAATACGCTAATTTTGTGATGTATTTTATTATAGCTTGCCTTGTGTTGTGTTTCTTTTTGTGTTTAAATTAACTGGCTCTAGCTTTATAAAAATTGAGATGGAGATAGGAAGGCAGTTGGAAAGTAGATCTTAAAAAGATTAATTTTGCTAGTATGAATCGGATAGAATTGATTTACGAATGAGGCAAGTGTCAACTTCTGTGTTGTAGGGTTGAAATTTCTGGTCATTGTACCAGACAATTCCTTAAGTAACAAACTCCAAACAGCTGCCCTTGACAAGCCGCCACTTGCTCAGTTACCCAAGAATTTCCCAACATTTTATGGAACCTGAAGGCTCAATACCATATTCACAAGAACCTGCACCACTGGTCTGTATCCACAGCCAGATTAATCTAATCATGCCACACCATCCTATTTCTTAGACAGCCATTTTAATATTATCCTCCGACCCATGTCTGTGTCTTCTTAGTGGTCTCTTCCTTCTGGCTTTCCCAACAAAGCCATGTATGCGTTCCTTTTCTCTATCACGTGTTACATGCCCTGTCCAGCACATCCTCCTTGACTTGATCATTCTAGTTATATCTGGTAACGGTTACAAATTACAAAGTTCATTATGCAGTTTTCTCCAACCTGCTTTTTCTTTCTGTTCCTCTATTTTCCTCTTTCCTCCAACCCCTTCAATGAAGCTAACATCTCCGCAGTGTTTATAAGCCTTTATTTTCTAGTTCACTTACTTACTCATGGAGCTGAGCCCTTCTGGAGGAGCCGTCAATTCTGTAGCTACTCAAGAATTTCCCAGCATTTTATAGAACCCAAAGGTTCATTACCGTATTCACAAGAGCCCTCCACTGGTCACTATCCTGATCCAGATCTATCCAATCCATACCATCCCATTTTCTCTCTCTAAGATCCATTCTAACATTGTCCACCCACCTACGCCTTG